CTCATACCAAATATCCATTAAGAGCTTTGAGAATAGCGAAGTGGAGAAAGAACCATAGAATTTTTCTCTCGTACTTTTTGACTGTTTTTGTGAAGTTGTAACGCGAGTGGCGCATTACTGTTAATAATGTGGTATGATAATAGAGTTATTTGTATATTTTTAAGGTTAAGATTTTATTTTAATCTTTTTATTTTAATAAAAAAAGTTTTAGTCTTTTTACTTAAGAAAGTTTTTTTTTTTTTATCTCTAAAGTTTATTGTTTGGTTAGTTTGTAATCTTTCCATTATTTTTTTTACACACGTATTGTATTAAATGATAAAATTTCTAAAGTAAAGAGATTGAAAAAGAGCTTTTTGGATGGTTTAAAATTTAAAAATTCTATCATATAATGTGTTATATGAGTAAAAAGATAATAAAAAGATTAAAAAGAATTTGGATAATAAACTTTAAGGACCAAATAATAATTTTTTTAAGTAAAAAAACAAAAAAATAAATTTTATTAAAGTAAAAAAACTAAAATAAAACTTTTAACTTATTTTTAACTATGTATCTAAAGTTCAATCTGAATATTTCTCTGTGTTTTCTTTTTTTTTTAACAGAATTACATTGGGAAGATGAAAAATGAAAAGAACTCAAACTCGAGTCCCTAAGCATTATGTCAGGAGTAATCAGTAATCCTATTCATAGCTTTTTAAATATTTCTATGTATTTAAAAATTAAAAAGGATGAACGACACAAACTTGATGGTCCTAGGTGTGGTGTGAGATTGGCACACAGCGTGAAGGTATATCTTTAGGTGTGGAAAGTATCACTAAGAGAGTGTGCCAATCGTGCCTTTTGTGTCTGAATATGTGTCAGTTGTCTTCTTACTCTTTTTTGAAAATAGGCAATGGAGTTGTCTTCTTAGTTCTTACTCTGTGCACTGTTTCTTGGTGTAATTTTTGTGCACTGTGTCTTGGTGTAATTTTTCCAATATGGAGATTTAATGTAAGATAAAAAGAAAAAGAAAAAAAAAAAAAGAAAAAGGAAAAAGAGTTGTTGGTCAGAAAGTTTGTACCATAACATTTTTCTTGGATGAGATCTGTCCTCTAAAACTATAGGTACAAAATTCTTCACCTCAAACGGTCAAACCCACGGAAGTGGTTAAGCACACACACACATGAAATTGTTGAGACCACATAAATTTTTTTCGTTAAATAGGCAATAATGATATTTAAAATGCAAATATTATAGATATAATATTATAATTATAATGTTATGTGATATTATAATTTATAATATAAATAATTTTTTTTATTAAAATTTTTATTTATAATATTATAT